GACAGAGGGAGACTCCAACTCAAAAAAAAAAAAAAAAAAGAGTCCCTCTAGAGCCCCTGTAATGGGGTGGATTGGAGGCTGAGAGTGAATGAGGCTGGACTGGATCCCATTGGTGGGGGGGGGAGGTGGGTTTCCTCCCTCCACATGCCAGCCTGCAGCTTCCTGGCTATGTGTTGTATGTGTTGCCCTCCCTAGTTTCTTCAGTAACCCACCCACCAAAGCACTTTATTCCTACCACAGTCTGGTCCTGTGGGAAGTAATGAACACAACACTTCCTGCATTTACTGCAAAACATGTTTTAAATTTTTTTTCATCTTTTTTAGCCAAGGGAATTTCAGTCAAGGGTATTTTCTGGATTTCTTATTTATGAAAAGGTACCATATTAGCTTCTATTATTCTGTTTTCATGTCACTAATCCTTTTACCAGTTAGTTAATTCTGAGTGATTTCTTAGAGTCAGGTATTTCATATAATGTAGAGCTATAGAAATTGTTCTTACATCAAGTATAAATCTCAAAACGTCCCATCCAGGATACTAACGTGTTCATGGTTTTCTATAAACAAGGGTCAGCACATGTCTGTCATCTATGAGGAGCCAAATATCCCACGGCCAGACCGGCTGCATCACGGGCGAGTACACCTGATCGAGGTAACAGAGAGCCAACCGTGAAGTGGTTCTTGGTGATCCTTTTTTGTTTTATGACTTAATTCTTTCAGAAACCATGATTTTTAAAACTTATTTTAAGAATTTTAAAATATAGATTATACATACATAAGTTTACATATGCAGGTTGAGCATTCCTAATCCAAAAAATCTGAAATTCAAAATGCTCCAAAATTCAAAACTCTTTATGTGCCAATATTATGCTCAAAGGAATTGCTCTGATTTCAGATTTTCAGAATAAAGGTCAATGAATAAGTATAATTCAAATATTCCAAAATTTAAAAAAATCTGAAATTCACACTACTTCTGGTCCCAAACTTTTCAGACAAGAGATACTCAACTTGTATAGATTTAAAATATATAAAAATAAATATAAAATGTAAAGTATTTGATGTTCCTCTGACTTTGTTACCACATCTTTCCAGCCCTTTAGTTCTCTCTCTCATTTCACAATTAATTATCCTTGTCTTACAAACCTCATGAGCTTGTAAATGCTGTGACATAGCTCCATCTCATTATCAGTTCTTCCTCAGTGCCTGGGACCTGGTCATTGTCCAACAAATCCTTGGGATGGATGCATAGAGAAGCCACATATTGTCTTACATCAAAAGAAGTAAGAGTAATATAGCTAAATAAAGGAAAGCACATCAGATCATAAAACATTTTATTACACCCACTTAGTTACAACTACTTATTTAAAACAGTGTTCCACTCCTATTATTAAATACATTTAATTACTCAAGGTGAAACTTTTTGTGTACCTTGAACTTGCAGACATATTGTAACACTGCTGCACAGGTACATCTATACAATTGAATACTGTTTCATGATGAAAGAAACAAACTATTTGTACCTACTACAACATGGATAAACCTCAAAAACATTATGCTGAATGAAAAAAAAACAAGACACAAAAGAATACATATTGTATGAGTCTATTTATGGGAAGGAAGTGATGTTCAGCAAAAATGGTGAAGTAAGAACCTCCAAAAATTCTCTCCTCCATAAAAGCAATGCGAAAACTGATGAAAAGAAAAACAAGATCGAAATTAACTTTTTAATAACTCTGGCAAGGAATCAAAGGCTTGCAGTCATCCAGAAAGTGTTTATTCAAGAGATATGGCTGAATCTCAGGAAGATAAACGGTGAGCTTTGTGGTCTTCAACTTGCCCATTCCCACCCTCCTCTCTCCAGCTCCACAAGAGCCTAGTAAACCAGCAGCTCACATTCACGGTGAAATCCAGCAACGTGGCAGCCACTAGGGGGGGCAGCATGGGATTTGAAACTCCTTAAAAGCCTCCTTCCCAGAGAACTGCTGTGATTTGACCTGTCTGGAGGATTTTTGGAAGATTTCACAGGCAAGGTTGTTTTTATTTTATCTGATTGGAGCTTTTCCTTTGGGAGTGTTGTTGAAAACATTTAGAGGCAGCTATTTAACTTCATGGCTGCCTGAGGTAGTTGGAGCAAACAATAATCACAAAGCATAAAATAAAAAAGCTAGGGAATTAGTTGCCCATAAGACTTTGAAAAGCTCTAACACAATCCTGGGAGTGTAGAAGCTATGCATGCTCAGGGCTGTGCACTATCCAGGCATGTACACCTGGCTGAGGAAAAACCTGAGAAGGCACTAAGCGCTCACCTAGAGGCTCTATGCAAGCAGGAAGTGAAGGCTAAGACAGAGTTATCAACCAGTTGACTGAGAGTTAAAGGGGTCCCCCAAAGGCACACAGAGCCATTTTGTAAAGGTTAGGATACTCTTTGGGTCCTAGCATTTAAGGAAATCTCTTTCCAATCATTATCTGATCACTAAGCTAGCAAAGCAGAGATTTTAGTGACCACATATGACAAAGAATGCAGAATTTACAGCATTAGTTCAGAAAAGGAATCCATTCAGGAAAGTCACTAAACAAATAGTCAACAACAGCAAACCCTGGGGATAGGGGCAGACATGATTTCCAGAGTTGTCACATATTATTTTACATATCAAACTGTCAACAAAAGTTATGGGATATGCAAAGAAACAAGAAAATATGGTTCACATGTGAGGTGGCGGGAGGAGAGATAATAAATACACTTTTACTGAGAAAGACCAGACATTAGACTTCCAGTCATAGACTTCGAATCAGTGTTTTAAATATGTTGAAAGAACTGAAGGAGACCATGTGTAAAGAACTAAATAAAAAATGAGCATATTGTCTTCATACTGAGAATAGAGAATGTAGAGAATATCAATTTAAAAATAGAAATTATAAAAAAGAACTAAATAGAAATTCCAGAATGGAAAAGTACAATAATGGAAATGAAGACTTTACTAGAAGGGCTGCTATGGACTGAACTGTGTCCCTTTCCCTCCCCTATTCATATTTTGAAGTCCTGAGCCTCAGTGTGTGGCTATATTTGGAGTGAAGAAGTAATTTGAGTTAAATGAAGTCTTAAGGGTGGAGCTCTGAGGGGTTAAGCATTCTTATAAGGAGAGACACCAGAGTTCACTCTCTTTTTCTGCCTTGTGAGGATGCAGCAAGAAGGTAGCAATCTGCAAGCCAGAAAGAAAGTTTCACCAGGAACCAAATCAGCCAGCAAATGGATATGGGACTTCCAGATTCTATAAGCATGAGAAAATTAATCTCTGGTGTTAAAACCACCCAGGATATGGTATTTTGTTATGGCAGCCCAAGTTAACTGAGACAAGTGCTCCAAACAGATTTGAGCAGGCAGAAGAAAGAATCAGCAAACTTGAAGAAGGTCATTTGAGATTATCGAATCTGAGAAACAGAAAGAAAAAAGAATGAGGAACAATAAACATACTCTCTGTCCATCTTACCTAAGGCAATCTACAAATTCAATGCAATACCCATCAAATTACTAGCAACATTCTTCTCAGACCTGGAAAAAACAACACAGGAACTCATATGGAAACACAAACGTTCAAGAAGAGCCAGAACAATCCTCAGCAAACAAACAAAAAAAAAAGCAGGTGGTATCACATTACCAGACTTCAAACTTTACTATAAAGCTACATCATCAAAACAGCTTGGTATTGGTACAGGAACAGGCATATAGATCAATGGAACAGAATTGAGATTCCAGAAGCAAAACCTCAATTTCTCAACCAACTCATCTTCGACAAAGCCCCCACCACCTACCACTGGGGAGAGGAGAACCTATTCAGTAAATGGTGCTGGGAAAACTGGCTGACCACATGCAGAAGACTGAAACAGGACCCCTATCTATCCCCATGCACAAAGGTTAACTCCAAATGGATCAGAGACCTAAATGTAAAACCTCAAACCATAAGAACCTTAGAAAAGGAAGGAAATACTCTCATGGAAATCGGAACTGGCATCCAATTCCTGTACAACCCGAAACCCACAGGACTTAAGAGAGAAGATAGACAAATGGGACCTTATTAAACTGACAAGCTTCTGCAAAGCCAAAGAAACCATCAAGAGAGCAGGGAGACAGCCTACAGACTGGGAAAAAGTATTTGCTAACTCTAGGTCTGACAAAGGCCTAACATCCTGGATCTACAAGGAACTGAAATGTACTGAAAAGAAGAAAGCAAACAACCCCATTATAAAATGGGCAAAAGATATGAACAGACATTTCACAAAAGAAGACATCTGAGCAGCCAACAAACACATGAAGAAATGCTCAACCTCACTAATCATCAGGGAGATGCAAATCAAAACCACACTGAGATACCACCCAACTCCAGTCAGAATGGCAATTATCAACAACTCAAAAAATAACAGCTGCTGGAGAGGGTGGGGTGAAAAGGGAACACTTCTACACTGTTGGTGGGAGTGTAAACTAGTGCAACCTCTGTGGAAAGCAGTGTGGCGATTCCTAAAAGCTCTAAAAATCGACCTTCCATATGACCCCGCAATGCCCCTACTGGGAATATACCCTGAAGACCTCAAATCACTCTATAAAAAAGATAACCTGCACACGTATGTTTATCGCAACATTGTTCACAATAGCAAGAACCTGGAAACAACCATGCTGCCCATCAAAAGAGGACTGGATTAAAAAATGTGGTACATATACATGATGGAATACTACGCAGCCATAAAAATAACAAAATCATGAATTTTGCAGCAACCTGGATGGAACTAGAGTCTATAATACTGAGTGACCTCTCACAGAAACAAAGATCTGAGTATCACATGTTCTCACTCATATAATGGACCTTGAACATCCAATGTAATACTATAAGAAAATGACTGACGGTACTGGGAAACTTGGGGGGGGGGGAGATGGGATTACAGTTGCAAATATCTGTCTGGGGATCAGGAAACACCTCTTATCAACAGGGTGCCTGAATGAAACGTAATTGTACACCTAACCCTTAACTGTACCCCTCAAAATCATAATAAAAAGTATTGATAATAAAATAAAAAATAAATAAACATACTCTCAAAACCACATGAATACAATCAAGTGTACCAACCCAAGCATAATGGGGATACCAGAAGAAGAGAGGAGACAGAAAATAAAAGAAAAAATATTTGAAGAAATAATAGCTGTGAATCTCCCAAATTTGCTGAAAATCACTAATCTGTATACTCAAGAAGCTCAATAAATTCCAAGTAGGATAAATGCCCACAGATACATCATAGTAAAGATGCTGAAAGACAAAGAGAGAATCTTGAAAGCAACAATTCCTCACATATAAGTGGGTCTCAATAAGATTAACAGCTGATTTGTCATCAGAAGCTGTGGCAGTCAGAAGGCAGTAGATGGCATTTTTTAAGTGCTGAAAGAAACACACTGTCAACAAAGAATTATGTGGCCTGCAAATGTACTGTAAAAGTGGGGGGAAATGAAAATATTTCATTATACATATATACTTTTAAAAGGAGAGAATTCATTGCTAGTCAATCTTCCCTACAAGTAATACTAAGGGGACTCTTTCAGCCTGAAGTGAATGGACACTAGACGGTTACTCAAATCCACATGAAGAACTAGAACGCTGGTAAAGGTAACCACATAGGTAATACAAAAGGCAGTGTATCTTTTGTTTGCAATGCTTTTTTTCCTCCTATCTGATTTAAAAGACAATGGCATAAAGCAATGATTACACATCTCTGTTGATGGATATATACAATGAATAAAGATGTTGTTTGCATGGCAACAGTAGCACAAAGGAGCAGAGAAGAGAATGGAGTTAGTGGAAGCAAAGTTTTTGTATACTATTGACATTAAGCTGGTATTTATATAAATTGTCCAGCATGGGCAAATGTGTAGAGACAGAACATAGATTAGCGGCTGCCTGAGGTGGGGGGTAAAATTGGATAGTGACTACAAATTGGCACAAAGATTCTTTTTGGGGTAATGAAACTGTTCTAAAATTACATTATTGTGATGATTGCACACTTCCATAAATTTACTAAAAATTATACATTTAAAATGAGGGAATAAGCCGGGCTTGGTGGCTCAGCCTGTAATCCCGTGCCTTTGGGAGGCTGAGGAGAGTGGATTGCCTGAGCCCGCAGGGTCAAGACCCGCCCGGGCAGGCGAGACCTCATCTCTACAATAAATCAAAAAATTAGCTGGGCATGGTAACGCGTACCTGTAATTCCGGCTACTGGGAAGGCTGAGGCGGAAGGATCACCGG